AGGTACAAGATATTCCAAAGGTTCATTTGCAGCCTATTACCACGTGAATAGGTATATGTAGTTACCTCGATTATCTTTACCAACCACTTAAATAATTTGAAACATTTATCTATCTATAGACAAAAATGCAGAATGTGAACTATAGTTAGTTATAAATAGTGGGGCTACAAGATATAGACATGTCTAGAGTGATAAAAAATTAACTAACAGGCATACATGCTTGAGGAAATTGAAGCAGCTCGCAGGCAAGGATGGATGATCACATAAGGTAATTTGATAGAGTAAGTTTCAAGTTTCATGAAGTTTTGGATTTTGGTCATACTATTGTGTTAAAGAGATGGGATCAAAATAAAGACCATAGAGAAAGTAAAATAATCCTTGAAGATTGGGAAGATAAAGTATGAAACGTGCATTTGAAAGATGGATAGCTCTCATAAAGAGAATCACCAAGCATTGGGAATTAAATGCATTGGCCGAATCCAGGAAATACACACCAAGCCCACTTTAAGGTAAGAGCTAATTGAGGAGTCTTGATTGTAGACAAATTCTAAATCCTAACTGTTTGCCAGCCTCTAGATATTGTGGCTTCCATAGTCAATGAAAAATTATTTTTACGTAATCAAATATTTTATTAATATGGATAATACACATGAAGTGATGTGTACTATCAATTTAAATCCGAAAGGAACAACATAATATTAGGCAACTCATCTATATGCCTAGTAGCCAAAACATTAAACCAAATATACAATGTCAAATAAAATAATTTTCTAATCAGCTCCGTTGTCCATGTTTAATCATCAAAACAGCACATTCAATGTAACATATAGGACATAAAGAAAAGTATTTGAAAGAGATAATTATGAAAAAAATAAAAAATTGAAACCCGTGGTTTAAACAAAAAATAAGAATTTTGCACGGAGAGCATCCAACGCAAGAGCACTTACATATTTCTCAAGTTCCTGAATTTTCTTCTCCACTTCAAATCTCAATCGATTGTTCTCTTCCACCTATGAAAGATAATCAAGTTCTATCAAATGGCCTGTTTTTTGCCATCACAATTCATAGGCTTCACAAGTGCTAAAATAATTATCTATTAGAACAATGTATCATTGAAAAAATACCATAATAGCACAATAACTACGGCATAATAATATACCCCGAAGAAGTACAACTTCCATAGAATTCTAATACTAGTAATAAAAGCACTTGAGAAGTTTTTGAAGTAGACAAGGAAAAAAATGTAAAACTTATCTCACAACCAAAAAATGGGGTAGCATAATCATCCACACAGAAACCCATATATGAGGGATATAAGCCTAGGGGCATGGATAAATAGAGGATAGTTAGGAGGGGATAAAAAGAGGGAAGTTTTCTACATAATTTTGTACACTAAGTGGCTGGCGAGCCCCGACGAGTAGCGTGGGTGATGTGCTGCTTGTTGTGCATGTGGCTCATATAGAGTGGAACACGGGTTCTGGATCAAATAGGGCATGCCAGAGCGGAGCGATGGCATCCACCTTACAGGGGTATTTCTTGTACGGGATTTAAAATCTTATATGGGCCCAGGCTAGGGTTAGTATAAATAATATGTTGTAACCTTATTTTTACCACTGAATAAAATTATCTCCGCTTCGCTCTCGTGGACGTAGGCACACCGCCGAACCACGTAAATTTTTGTGTTGATTTTTCTTTTTCATCTCTTTATTATTGCGCATAAAATCCAACACCGCTCTTAAGGGTCTATCATACAACAGGACGATGAATGTTAGCTGTCAGAGTGACGATAGTCAAGGCACTAGCACCACATTGCTTGAGCGGGGTCCTTTTGGAGGAGGGTAAAGGACCTTTCATGAAAAATGAAAAACAAAATCTAGAAGCAGCATATTTTGATCTGTAGCAAGAAAGGCACTTACATTAGAAATTCAAATCCCAATTGACATAAGAATAAGAAAATATAGAAGAGCAAGGGATACCAACTAAACATAGTTCTACACGTGAAGTGAAACTTTAAATATGGCCTAGTTTGAAAGAAATATAGACGAAACATAGATAGTATGAAGGCAGCTCATCTTGAAGGACCATGGAGAGAGCAAAAAAAATGAGAGAGAGAGAGAGAGAGAAGGAAATACTTCAACAGAGAGAGAGAGAGTTACAAAGAGGAAAAGGAGTCAGCAAAGTGGGAAATAAAAGAAAAATAATCAAGCAAAAAGTTTTCTCCAACAACACATATCAATAATTGCTGGAAAATCCAAGGTTTAGCCCATGGAAAGGGAAGGGAAAATATCCCATTTGACAAAGATCAAAAGAAAATGAATCAACGATACATATATATATGTGTGTATATATGTATATATATATGTGTGTGTGTGTGTATATATATATATATATACACACACATTTTTTTATTTTTATTTTTTGTAGGAAATCAGAATTTTATTAATTAAAAGAAATTACACGGGATGTGTACAATCACTTTAAGCAAGAGAGGCACAACATGCAATTAGACAACTCTTCTACAGGATTTTTAGCCACGGTATTGAACCAATTATATAAAGTCAAATAAAACATTTCCCTAATCTGCGCTGTTATCTTTGTTTGGTCTTTGAAACAGCGATTGTGCATTTCTCTCCGAACAATATTAACATCTCGGTAACGCCAACAACGTCATCGTAAATAAAATAGCTATATTAAAGGAAGCACCAAAAGTGTTGCACCATTGTGAAGCCAGAAACACTGCTNTTGTCTGCTATTTCTCAAAGTCAAACAAATGTCTAATAAGTGCTTGTTTAACAAATTTAATTACTCAGTCCATCCTAGTAAAAGGGCTCAATTTCAGAACTCCAATGTCTTAAGGAAGTGTGCATTAAATGTTTCTCCCCCCTTGTCTAGCATGTAATTATCGAAGCTCCCTTCAACGAAAAAAATGAAATATATTGATCATCTAAATCTCTGTATAACTAATTCGTTGTGCGATAGTATAGGAAACTTGAGTTTTCTGAAATGAAGTTTTTTTTCTGGGGGGCATAGTTTCTCATACACATGGTCAAAGGAGTGATACTGTGGCATAGGATGGATGAAGATCACTGGCATTATTTGTCCAATATAGGATTGTGCGTTCTCTTTAATATGTCTATACTTGTTAGGCATAATCATATCGGCCCAATACTAAATTAGAAGAGATATTTTCAAGTTGACGTATTTGTACAGTTTTCCTAGTTCAGAAGCCAACGTCATTACAGATAAAATAAAAATAAAAAAACATTATACTACTTGGAGAATGTGTCCCTACTATTTTACTTCATGATGTGTTTGGTAGGTATGATTTTAGAGACAAGGTTGAGATGACAGTCACTCTCAACCCTTTTGTTCCCAGTGGTTTCCACTGCAGTTTCCAGGAGCAGACCCTTGTGGCAATGTTGTTCTATAAGTACATATTGGAACCGCATCGAGAGATTGCACGATCCATGTAAAATACAAATATACTATTCAAAAGATGTTTGTATTATAGTACAAAAAATACCCTGCCCTAATAACATAAAGCACATATAGTTAAAAATACGGGAGAGAGAAAGAGAGAGATAAAAATACCTGCTGCTTGATAGTGGCCTCGGCAGCTTCTACTGCTTTCATAACCTGAAACAATCCGTCAGTGCTGTTGATGTTGTTGGTATCGCTCACCACCATGCCCGCAAATTTACTTTCTATATTGCCTTCTCCATTTTCCATGTTTTTCATCTTCGAATTTTGTAACCAAAAATCAAATTCACAGATAAACACAATAAAATTCAGTCACATAACTAATCAGATATTCGCAATTACAGTATGATTCGCTGTACGCACCTGCAGTCCTTTGTTAAAAATGCACAGATAAAACCCTATGGATGAATTCGAGACAGTAATGAGAAACGATGGTGATGGAGGGAATTTTGCTCAGGCAGCTCCGAAAAATAAAACAAATTGAATGTAAAA